ACTTTTTGTCTCTGTAGGGAAACGGTGGTGACTGCATCCAGGCCAACTCTAACGGTGGGACCCACGGGAGAACCTCAAACGGCAACACCAACAACAACCAAACAGCGTCGTCCAACGACACCATGACGGTGACGGAGCACCAAGTCGCCAAGCTCATGGAAGAGGACATGGGCTCCGCCATGCAGTATCTCCAAGGCAAAGGCCTCTGCCTCATGCCCATCTCACTCGCCACCGCCATCTCCACCGCCACGTGTCACACCAGGAACCCCATGATCAACAACAACCATCACCACCCTCCCATCGGATCCAACGGCGAGGGACCCTCCTCACCCAGCATGTCCGTCCTCACCGTCCAGTCCGCCACGACCGGTAACGGCGCTGCGGCTGCTGACGGTTCCGTTAAGGATGCTGCCTCCGTCTCCCAGCCGTGGTAACGGGGGTGGCTTACTTTTTTTCTTTTCCTTGGTTTCCACAGCAATGACAAAAAAAAAAAAAAAACAAAAATAAAAAAAAAAAAAAAAAAAAAAAAAAAAGTAATATTACTAAAGTCTACGAAAATAAGGCCTCATAGGGGCTCTAAACGACGCCGTATTTACGTAGACTTTGGGTGAATCTAACCCCATCTCAACCACACCAAAATACGCACCAAAAGAAAATTCCCTATAAATCTTCTTTTTCTTTTTGGGTTTCTTTTATTATTATTATTGTTGTTTTTTAATTGAAATTTGAGTTTGTACTCTGTAATGTTCTAATTTGGTAGTAGCCTATAATTTCGGGATCTTTGATGTGTTAATTTTCTTTATCTTTATTTTATAATAAGAGTAAGGAAAAGTCTATGTGAAATGGAGTGGCAGATTTTAATTTCCTTTTGTTTTGGCCTTTTTTTCTTTTCTTGTTTTTGATTGAAAAGGACTTTTTCTAACTCGGTTTGTTTGGAAGTGTCTTTGGAAAACAAATGTTCAAATATGCTATGTTGGATTAGGTTAGAAGTCAAAGGCATGTCGCATTCTTTTCTTTATTTTTGGAAACAAGAAAAAGAAATGTGGGTGAGACAATTGGTTTCGTATGACACGAAATAATTGTTTTATTCTTTTTTTTTTTCCCTACCCCGCATTTTGTTGACCAATGAAAGGTGTGGTTTACATTTTGTACGTTTAATTTTAGGAATTTATGGTTGTTGTCCGTTCTTGGTGAATTGAGAACGAGGATAGTGCGATTGAGCGTCAATATTCATCCTAATGAGACGCATTATTTTATGAGTACGAGATTTTATTCCTATCGAGATATATATTTTTTTTTCTGTGTGACTGGGGTAAAAAGAGATGAAAAAAAAAAATTATATCTCATCACTTGTGTTTTCTTAAAAAAAATTGAAAAAAACTGGAGAAATATGTTTCATAAAGGCCCTAAGGGCCGACTAATATTTATTAAATATTTTTCTAATACACATGACGTAGACATGATTAAAAAAAAAAGAATATAAATTTTTTGTTTTGTTTTGTTTATATATACTAGTAAAAACCGCGCGCTTCACACGTTGACTCATTTAAAATAACAGTTATACTAATTGTTGAGGAAAAAAAAGAAGAAAAAGGAAATGATAAATGAAATAAAGACAAAAATGAGAAAAATATATGAAGTAAAAGACGGAAAAAAGACAAAAAAAAAAACTTAAGAAAACAATTTGCGCGAAATGTTTTTAACTCAAGTTGAAATTTATGAAGATCACAGGCAAAATATATTTATACAGAGATAATTTAATAATAAATTAATTTGACAGAATAATTAAAAAATATATATTTTAAATAGCCGTTAAAACGTATTTAAAAAAGTTATATTTGAAAATATATTAAAATCAAAGGTTAGAAGGTGCATAAAAAGATAAGGGAGGAAAAAGAAGAAGACAAAAATAAATAACTTAAAGAAAAAAAAAAAAAAAAAAAAAATGGTGACTAATATACGAAATTTTTAATTCTATTAGTAGACATTTAGTAGGTGGATTGGGTGATTTTAATTCTAGGTCCACAACAGAATTCATGTTTGGAAGCCCAAAATACGTTTGGTTCACGAATTTAGAACCATGATTTAAAATTATTCTCGGTTTACGTGTGTTTTTTTTTAGAGAAAATATTATAGCGAGTCACGAATCATGATTCGAATCATGACATGAATTCTCATACTAGCACAATTGAATTAGAATCAGATGAGACATGTGGGATCATTTAGGGCCCTGATTCTGGAATCAAGCTCCCCCTAATTTTGCCCCTTGGAACCTAAGGCTACAGTGAAAATCACTGTACTCTCTGGCAATTATGAACCTCACCCAACTCTCTCCCGACCACGTCCTTCCACTCCCATGCGTGGCCAGAGAATCTCCAGCCTTTCTCCTCTTGTGTGGGTGAGCAGGTTGACAGAATCTCTATTTAAGTCACCTAATTGTCCCTCTTTGACGTGGAAGTAAACTCATACTTAGTTACATGGAGGTCCTAATCATTCTTCGTGATCTAAAACACAACTTTGACCACCCATACTGTGACGCCTCCCGTCCTAGCGGCGGGTCGCCAACCTTAAACTACTACTAATAGGCTGAGTTATAGTCTAATCTATTACTTGTTATTAGACTATCGTCTCTTTAATTTACGTTTTTCTATGAGTAAAATTTTTTTTCTTTAACCCTCGGGTTCTTAACATGTTCCTAGAATATTCTTTTGTTATGCAACAATTTATCCTTGCTAATACTTTAAGAAATCAGATATGGATCTAGTCCCCGAAACTTATCTTAACTTATTACAGTCCGTTGTTCTTTACCAAGACAATGACCATAACATCTTTTTCTTAAAACTGAAACATATAAACTTGGTTCTATATTACATTTCTCTGCAGCGAAATTTAATTTCTAAGCGAGCGTAGTAGAGATCACTCCCGTGTACCCATGACATTTCCGTCACCCTTGCCTCTGCCGGTCCATCAAGCAAAACCACTATATGACTGGCTACCTACCTTTGCTACCTGCACACGAGTAAACTGATGAGCTAACGCTCAGCAAGTATAAACATGCAAACATCATAAACTAGAAAAATTTACATTAAGAATTATGATGCAGATATGCTCGTGTGAAACATGCTTTAAACTGCTTTCTGTCTTTCTGTTCTTACTACTATGGGCTTGGGCCCCTGCTTACTGTCTTGTTACTGTGGGCCTGGGCCTCTGCTTATTGTCTGGTCTAGTCAGAATCTCTACTCTTTGAGATTTCCTCCCTTGGGAGGCCGACGACCCGTCAGTCTCTTTACATTACTGAACTTTGAGTTTTTCATTTCAAAGTGTTAAAAACTTTACCGAATGATATGCAACGTTTTCTCTACGTGCATATGCTAACATGAAAATGCAATATACTTGCATACCTTATACTGAGCATTAGGGGAACCATAGGTCGCCCTTCTGCAATCTAGGGCACTAAGCCCTCCAAACACTTAAAATCACATCGACTTAGGAATTCAGGCGAATTCATAATTCTAAATCTAACTACAGTTTACTCGAGTACAGACAAACATATATGAGTCTATACTTACTAATAATCCGCTAGGATTCTTGCTTGCTGGAAGTTCTTTCTCGTTGTCTCGGCTCTCGTGCCAAAACATGTTTCATGGAAATAGGTATAAATTTCCTATTTCAAATCACAATTCTTCATACTTAGATTCTTAAATCTAATTTCAAACTCGTTTATGAACCTTTTTCCCCTCTAGGCCGAATCCTAGCTCAAGAGGCAAATTACACATATTTGTGTATCTCGGTTTCTGAATCTTAATTTGTTCATTTCCAAGCTTTAAAATTGTTATTCATTTTCTAGAACCAATTACTAACTCATTGCTTACTAACTAATTTTTAGGAAATTTCGGCAGAGTTTCGCCTTATTTTTCTCGTTTCCTGAGTTTTCAATAACTCGTTCTACTTCTGATTTCGGTACCTGGAGTCAAGATTCACATTCATGAACAAAGATTCTAACATAAAATTGAACAAAACACATGTTCTTTCTTAATTTAGGCTCACGGATTTTCAATGGAAATCCACCAAAACATCATTTAATCGTTTTAATACTTACACTATTAAACCCCTATTATGATGCTCTACAAAACCTTGGTTTCGATTTTTACTTTAATGGAAGTTTTTCTGAGATGGGTTACTATTCATCAAAATCAAGAAATCATAGAATTCTCATGAAAAATCTGAAATCTTACCTCCAGAAGTTGAGGTTTTTCGCTAGAACGTCTCAGGTTACGTTTCTACCGGACTGAACGGAAGAAATTTCGGTGAAAATACTTGATTTTCCTTGATTTCCCTTTCTCCGTCTCTCTCTAAAATATTTTCTCTTTACTTCACTCTCTCACGTATTTTCTCCTTTTCTCTGCTATGCCTTACATAAATGGCATTAGTAAGTTTTTTTGTGGTTTTACAACTTGAGTTATCAAGTTTAACGTGAGTCACCAAGTTGAATAAACTTAAGCGTATAACAATGCCAAGTGGTATATCTGCATGTGAGGTATATATCCACCTCACGGTAACAATCATTTTTACTTTTACTTTTTTTTTAAAACGTACTTTGAGGTAATCTTATATATATATATATATATATATATATACTATAACTTGGTTCAGCCTGCTTTTGTTCTTTGCCAAATTAAAGATACGTGCTAGCAAATGAGTGGGTTCTATACTCCTCAAATTTTTCTTGTCGAGACCTAACTTTCCGTTTCTCAAAATGAGTCTCTTTTCGGTACTAATAATTTCACAACCAGTACAGGTTCTATACTGCTTTTCTGGACTGTCGAGTACTCTGGGTCAAACTTCTCATGTTCAACCCTATTCTCTTGGGTATCTCATTGGTCAATTTCTTTTTTTCTAAAATTTTCATTTTAGTTGATTCATAATTGCCCAAAACGCATACCCTCGCGGTATTCATTTTTTTAGCAGTTTCCTGCTTTAACTGACTCAGGAAAATTATGTTTCAGGAACTTTTACTATTTTTCTTATTTCTAATATTTCTACTCTTTTTCTAACTGGTCATTTGGTCACAAACCAAATATTTTAGTTTTTCATAACTAAAATATACCCGCTAAAATTTTTAACTTTTAATTGATATTTCACTATTCATAACTGATATTTACGAATTTTTTTTGTAAAAATATTCATATTATAACTTTCATATTTTATAAAATTTTACCCAGTACATAAAATTTTTACATAACATTTTATTCATTACATCAAAATTCTACTACTTACTATTTCAGAAAGAATTTCGGTCAAATACCAAACTATCCGGATTAGACCTAAATTTTTTTCGGTCATTGCACATACTATGTGCCTAAAAAATCAAATGACAAACCTCTTATTCACTTCCTGCCCGCCCACGTCAAGTTTTACTATAAAAGTTGGATTAGAAAG